CTAGAGATTGTTTCCTCAAGGTCTGCTGGAGACTTTTCTCCAGCTGTTCCAAGAAGCTCCACCAGCCTTTGTTAAACTGTTAAGGAGCAGATCTTGCAATGATATTATCAAGATTTTTACTTTTACAGAAAAGATGGAGCTTGGATGAACATGCAAGTTACAAGATAAACAAAACTAAAGAAAATTACAACTACAAGAAGTCATCAGACAAAGGCCATTATATGGATTATCTCGGAGTCTGAAATAAGTCTTTGGGTTCAAAGAGGGCACTCATGGATATTGCACTTCAAGTTTTATATAGCTGTGAGGACTTTCAACTGACATAAATTATTATTTATTGATTGTATTTGGTTATCAACAAACCCAACAGCAAGTGTGGATGTGTCACATGGCATATATAGTACAGTCTCTGCCCCTGATTTCTTAAAATCTAAATTACTGAAGAAGATGGGATGTGGAAGAGGTGAGTGGGCTTGCATTGCAGGATCAGTGCCAAACTCTGGAAATAAAGCTGGTTTTGTGGTGTTTGTCCAAAAGCCATTATGTGTACATTATACTGGCTTCAATTAAAGCAGGTTTGACTTGAATGTTGGAAAGTCTTTCTCCTACTCTTACCTTAACTCTGTCAGGGGTAGAATGAGAGCATGAAATCAAAAAGCCTACTCAGTTCTGTTAGGCACATAACAGCATAACAGCTGTTGCGGTGTTGTGAACTCTTCTAGATAAAAAGCCAAATTTAGGCTGACTTTTAGTCCTTAAAGCAGGAGAACAGTAGCAATATAAACTGACAACAGGAAAATAGGCCCACAGCAGTAATAGATAATCCTGTCATCTGAATGCTTATATTATAGCACAGATCAAGCAGGAGAATTGTCTTCTATTATTTTTTCGATTGTTAGTTCCAGGTAGAAAAACATGTCATGAGATAATCAGGACACTGAACATTTTATCTTACTATAAAAATAAATTGTAAGGAATTATTATCAGGTGTTCCACCGGATAAATATATAAATACATTCTCTTTTCAAACAACGGGAGTTGTGCAAATGTACCTGATAGAATAGCATCACTCTCTTCATCGGTAACACCTGAGGAAGGTGTCAGCCCATATAGACAGATAAAACCATGTTGAAATAAAAGAATTAATGTGTTGCAGTCCAATGGATATAACTCTCAGATCAAGACAGACTTTTGTCTTCGTTGTGTTAGCCATTTTTTAAGATTTTCAACATTTTCTCCCAATTCTGGATGGGATAAAAATATAAAACATTGAAAAAATGCTGAAATGAGAAAATAACTTTCTTGTTATTTTGCTATCCATGCAGCAAATTTCAAACTTAGACTGGCTGCTGAATGTCTCAAAATCAACTTTCTGCTTTGAGCAGTCGGAAGATACATAAAAGAATTAAAACATGGGTTTGTATTCTGGGAATCCACGGCAGTTCAGCAGTGCTTAATGTATTGGGTTTGGTTTTAACCAAATACAGTAATAGAGAAAACTGCTGATAATACAAGCAGAACTCTGGCTTATCACAGAGAGAAAGCTCATGACTGTTGAACCTAAGAAGCTGTTAATATCAAACAACAAAACTTGCGTCCACACTTTGATTCTTAGTTCTCAGCTCTAATTTATGACAGTTCAAATTTTTATGTCATAGGATCATTTTTTGTTGTTTCCTTCAGGCACCTTTCCCAAAAAATTAATCAGGAAGTTAAACGTCTTTCTCCAATGGAATGCTTCAATAAATTAAAAATTGTCCTGTTCCGTTATTAACAACTTTTAAATGGCACAAATCCTGGAGTTCAACGTCATTTATCTGTGAAGAGAAATGCAGCATGTTGAAAGTTGACATGATAAATAAATCTTTATTTCAGTTTCTAGCATATAAGAGCAATGAAAGAACCATGTACTGTGGCAACGAGAATAATCTTTGGTTGAGCTGTCTGTCTCCCAACAGTTCTTAAAGCATCAAATGGATTTCTTCCACAACGCATGACTAATAGTCAACACCTACGGAGCAACTTTATATTCTGGGACAAATCTATATTTGTTTGTCTCGCTCGAACTAAAAAATACATTAAGAAGTTCCTTTTTTACTTCCTTCTACCTACCACCATTAGCAAAAAAATTAAGGTTGTCTACTGAGATTATTTTTTTTCTGAGACAACAGAGTGACTCATGCTTGGATTTGGTTTATGATAAGAACCATGCTAAAATTTCATTCAAAATCGTTACATAAATGATTAGGATAGATTTTTTTTTTTCTTCCAGTTTTGCTAAAGAAGACTGATTCTGATATTGAACTGATTCTGATATGGATTCTCAGAAAAAAAAAATTAAAATCTTGTTTCTAGTCTTAAGAAGCCAGTTGACAAATGCAATGGACCAAATTCTGCTTTCCTTTCACTTTGCCATTTTTCTATAATTTTGTTAACATCAGAATACTTCCCATCTTAATTTTAAAACTTGATTTTAAAATGCAGTTATAAGAAAACTAGGCAAATTTTTTCATAAGTTAACATCCCTTTTTTTAAAAAAATGCGCTTATTCTTTTTGTCTCATGTAATTTAGTATTCAAATCAAATGTTAGATTATAGGTTTGGGTTTTTTTTCTAATTTAAAGAGATATTTTCAGAAGTCTCTGCTTCAAGTAGTTAACAGTGAACATCTGTGAACAACTGTGTTTGCCTCTTCTCTTATGTAAACTTTTTCTTCAGTCTTTCACTGCAGGGGATAATGCCCTGAGGTATAGTAATTTCTGTAGTTCTTTTCAGCTCTTCCCAGTGTATCCAGTTCTTATAAGAGGGTTCATGTCTGAGGCTACTTTGTCAAAGCATGCTGTTTCTTTTTCTCTTTTCATACAGTAACTCCTGGCTTCAGAAACTGATGGCAGATTGAAGCTAGTCACTACTGTAAATCTACATGAGCAAGTATATTAAGTCTATTTTTTATACTGAAAAAAAATGGTGAATCCCTGTGTGGATATAAACACAATAGTTTTGCACTAATTTCAGTATATTTAAAACAATTCCAGCAGAGTTAAGCAAATAAATGTCTTTTTCCTCATGTGACACTGATTTTCATTCTGGGAGATTTTTGATTATTTTTTTAAAGAATGCTGCTTTAGGGGAATATTTCAACCATTATATTATCTGATTTCTTTTGTCATCACACACCTGCTGAGTACCAGGACACTTGAAAATCACATTTATAATTTTCTAATTCTCTGTTTCTTTTTCTTTCAGTTTTGTATGAGCAGTAGTTATCAGCATGTGCTTACTAAAGTGTCCTCAGGATTACTCTCTTTTCCGTATAAAGCAAGCAAAACTTTAGTTTGAAGAATTACTCAACGGTCTTGTAAATGAATGAATTTTGCTTCCTTAAATAGCACCTTAATTTTAGCTTTATTCTGGTTTCAGTGCTTTTCACACCATCAGTACTTTCAGCTTTCTACTGCAGCTGTTAACAGCCCTTCATTTTTGAGGTTGCCCTGAGTAAAACTGCAGCTGTATTTGTAAACTATTTGTATTCATAGAAAAAAGGGTGTTCTGAATTTTTAGTTACAAGTACCTGAAAACTTTGCTAGAAACAGAGTTGACAGGAGCATAGGAAAGTTTAAACATGAAAACTGTGGGCATCCAGGCAACATGACAAGCAATTTCAAGATATCCCCAAGATCTGTTTCTGCTTTGTAACTTGAAGAAGAAAGCAGGCGTATCAGTGGATCTGGAGACCTGAGCACATTTCAGAGAGCCTGAGCACCAGAGCATGGTGTGTCTTCCCTGCTAACGTTCACACACATCCTAGTCTGCATACAGACATCCTACAATGGATCATGCATAGCTGGTTACTTTAAGAAGTGGCACCTTATCAAGAGTGTATTCTGATTACATGCTATAAATTGTTTAAAACACTACTTTTCCTGAAGTTTCTAGTAAATTAGCACGAAATCACTAGCTTTAGGACACAGCAGCAGAAGACTGTGCTTTTGTAATGTTCTTTTTATAGGGGTAGAGATCTTACCTGCATCCCTGCACTGTTTTGATGTTTGGGGTTTTTTTTCTACTCTGATCAATGACAGGACTCAGTTCATGTCAAAACTAATAAAAATTATTGTTTTCATTTAGTAAAATTGTTTTATTCCTAATTAAAGAGCTCTGTGGCCTCCTGTGTCACCATAGCCGTTAGTAACTACTGTGAAAAAAAAATCTATTTTCTTAATCTATGCGGTATCATTTAATCAGGTGATCCTGGGTAATTTTCTAATGATTCAATGATTTAATTTTTATGGTAACATCCAGTTTTAGAGAGGACAGATAATTACTGTGAAAACACAGAGGATTTCTGAGAGTCTAGGAACTCAGTTTTGGTAGAATGGAAAACTGCAAGGTACTAATTGGTCTACTCACCTCCCTGAGTGTGCAGACAATTTCTTAAATACCTCTGACAACTTGCCGCTGATTTGCAAAAATGATACATTAGCCTTAAAGGTAAAAATACCGTCTTTTAAAGAGATATTTTGTTTATAAGGTTAAGTAAAATAAAATACAAATTTTAAAATTAAAAAATATAAGTATATTTTGTATAACCAAATCTGTTATCTAGTGAGAAGGACTTCTCTGTGATAAATCCATTTGTCATAGGAGCTCATAAAAAAGAATCCGAATACCTGTGAATAAATAAAAACATACATTCCATACACTAAAGCATACCTGGCCTCTTTCTCTGACAAATATTTTCATTAAGGAAATCTGTAGACATGATGTCTCCAGCACCAGTCCAGTTTTTGGCACAGTCCCCAGAGAGAGAGAGAGAGATGCTCTGTGGTTGGAATTTATTAATTTTGTTGTTGAGTGGTGCAAAGTAGGCAGAGAGAAAAATTCATCCTTTGCTTAACACAAAAATGTGCAGCAACTGTTAAAGAACTTATTCCCTTTCTTATAGTTTGGGCACCTGAGTTTGCTCTGTCATCTCAAAAGCCAATCACCCATAATACAAGGCAGTGTTGATTCTTTGCTTAGTTCATTCTTAATGAAGTAACAGAAATATAACTTCTATGGAAATCAATAGAGTTTGCTATCACTGGACCTCAGTAAGAGTTGGATTGTGTGCCTAGCTGTTTTAGTAATAAGAATGACTACTTGCTTATGAAAACCACAGCATGTTCTTAAAATAAAAAAAGAGAAATGTCACAGTTCAAGGTAATTGAGTGTAAGCGAATCTCTTATTGAATGAGAAATTTATAAGCTTTGACTGGATACAAAAATCTCTCTGCTCTGTCATGCTGCAGAGTATATGAATTTTGGTATCAGTTTCACTGTGAAACAACTGCACAGCCTGTGATTGAGTAATTATAAACTCTCCGTTTCTTTTTGTTATTTTAGCATGTTACTTATTTCAAGGAAAGAAGGACAGGAAAATAAAAGGAGGATGAATATAAATAGTTATTGTAAGTAGGAAGTATGAAGCACAGTATTATGAAGAGCAGGCATACTAAAGATGTTAATCTAAATTTCAAGCTCAAGGACAATTTCCAATTTTCAAGGTCGATAAGATCATACATTCTCAAATCCCCACTTATATGAATAACATCATTCTTTTGCTTAGTTAGTTACCCTGGAATTTTCAAAATAATTAATGATTTGATTTTGGCAATCATAGTTGTTTTTAAATAAATACAGTTTCTGTAAATGGCTTATTTTTGAATGACTTATCAAAATCCCCACCCACAGAAATCTGCTGTTACATTATTAAACTGTTTTTGATATTTATTCTCATCTCACTGTCCATCAAACAAACAAGTAAAAAAGCTCAAATGGATCAGCACATGGTCCATCTAGTCCAGTAGTAAGTCTCCAGCAGTGGAAATAGGACAGAGGATATTCAGTGCACAAGCGAGGTCATTTTTTGTGCTCCATTCCCCTCATCCTTTCACAGCAATTTTTACATTACGGGTGTTCCCTTGAATATCCAGATTATTTTAACATCCATTTCGGAACATGTTGCCCAAGAATTTGTTTAATCCCTTTTTCAATTCCCTGACACTGTCTGTCTTGGCATCCTCCTGTGACAGCAAGATCCAGACATTCACTACTCACTGGTAAAATACTCATGCTTTTATCTATCTTAAACCAAAATATGTAACTGAGCACATGCCAGCACGATGTGCTGTATGTTTTTCAAGCAAGAAACTCATGCTTCTATTGAGAACCAGAGCTTTTTAATCCCTTCAAGCTTCTGGACCACTGCATCATGTCAGGGTTCACTAGTTTCTTATCATGAGTAAAAAGATAACAACAGGCTTGAGACCAGTATGAGCTGAGAGCGAAGACTCATCGTACCTCTGTAATATGTAGGAAGTCTGCATAAATCATCCTGCTACTGCCACACCTTCAGCAATGAGTATATGGCTAGAAGTGCCCCTTTCAGGCAAGACTGCCTCTGAATTCCCAGAGATGGCACACTTTCACATTGTCTATGCTTCAAATCCTGCAGACTTGGCATGAATTGTTAATAATATGTTAAGTAGTCTTAAGGAGCTTCTTTTGCTCCGTTAACTTTTCCCCAATTAACTTTCAAGTTAGGGAAACTTGCTTTGACCCTTAGGAATACTCATAAAGTTTCTCCATGTCTCATTTCAGGTCCTTAAATTCTAAAATTTAGGACCTTAAGTTCTTTTTAGATCCTTAAATTCTTAAAAACTTAGCCTTAGGCTCTTAAGAAAGTCATGGGACTGGGAGCTGACCTTATAATGCATTGATTCTGTCTGGTTTAGTTATTGCAGCAGTAGTAGCAGTGCTGGATCAGAAATCATGTTACAGAAGCACTGCAGAGATGGTATTTCAACTCAGGGTGACATCGTACTTATGTTCGGAAAAAAAAACCCCAAACAAAACAACAACCCAAGAAAAACCAGCAGCATTCATTTACATGATTATATAACCAAGTATATATTACATCAACACAAGCACATTTTTATCAGCAAATATATATCTGAGTCTTGTAGGATCAAATCCAGGTACTTCTGAAACTAAAGGCACTTTTGCTCTTGACTTCAGTAGGAAGTGAGTTTGCTGCAAAACATGTTTGCTTTCACGAGACAACTAAAATCTTTAAATTGGTTTATTGTAACACACGTTTGTGTCCTACAGAAATGTTTGCTCCTGACAAATTTTTCACCCCTGTTCCTACATGGGTGCCCAGGAGATCTATCAGCTGTTGCTGCAGCAGTGGTGAATTGGGTCCCAGGAGAGCAGGCTTAGATCAGACACTGTATCCTCGTTGAGCAAATGTTAGTGAATCTTTATTAAATATCTTAAAATATCTTGAAGATCTTCATTGTTTTCTTCTAGGTGACGACATAATTGTAATATTTCCAATGGGTTAAGCTGGGTTTTTGGCTTTTGCCTGAATGCATATTATAGTTTATTTTTACAGAAGATTGTTTAACAGTCTTCTAATCCTGAGTTGCTCTACACCTATGCACTGTGAACAGTACTGTAGGTCATGGTGTTTCTTATTTTGTAAATAAACCATGAGATTTGCTGCCCTCATGGGAAGCAGTACCTTGCTACGGGCAGCACAGCAGTGGTGCAAGCTGCACCTCTCCCATTTTTGAGACCTTTAAAATCCTGGTGGAGAACAGGACCTGAAGCCTGATCCCACCAGGAGCAGAAGAGTTCAGCTCTGGGTGACACAGGATGCTTAAGCATATCATTAGCTTATTCCACTTCAGTAGATCTGAGTAAATTACTGTGACTCTTCATGTGTTTAAAGTTAAATATGTGTAAAGCACTTTGCTGCCATCAGGAGTGAACTGCTAACGGAGCCCCTAATCCTTCAGCAGCAGAAATGCCATCTGCTGGAAAGGGCGCCCCCAGGCCTGGAGATTTAAATGGTACAGCATTCAACAGATTTTTCCCTCCTTAATTAAATTCACTTAAATATTGTTTCTCGTTTCAGTATAATAATAAATCAGATTACGCTCCGAGGAACTGGGGATGTGCCTTCTAGAGCCTGAAGTGATGCAGGTAATGCTCCTGTTAGGGAAAGGCAGGTGAGGAAGGGGGTGAGCATTCCCTGCACTGGGCTGCTGTGTGAACTGCTTCCCAGGTGACCATTTCTGCTGCTGCTTGGCTGGTCCTATCCATCTGCTCCCCTGGGAGCAGCATTTTCTGTCCTTGCCGATGGGAGATGTCACCTCTGAGAGACTGGTGCCAGAAATCCAGCACCAAGCATGTGGCAAGGATGCCTCAGCGGCCTGGTGTGTACCAGCCAGGTTGACAGGAATAAACCTTCAATATACTACTAGAATAATAGTATTTGACAGGTAGTGGAAACCTACCGATACCATTGCGACCATATAATCGCTAATGTTCTTTTAAAGTATATTCTTATTTACAAAAATATGACTCCAGCGAGGCCTGCTGGGCTGCCCGCCGTGGCGAGGAGGGAGCTCTGGCCCCTGGGCTGCTGGCAGTGATTTTGATTCGTGGAAAAGAAGACTCTACAACTCGAATAGAGTTTAAAGCAGGGATGTTTACTCCGGCCGGGGTGCAAGGGAATTTCTCCACAAAGCCTGCACACCCACCGCACATTTTACCAAAACTTACAGAGTGTAGATATCCATATTCACTGGGTTACATAACACAAACATACGCATGAGTAGGGCTGGGTTAGTTAGCATGGTGTCAGCAGTTGATGTTCTCTTTGCACCTGCCTGTCGTCTTCGGAGGTCTTTGGGAGGAAGGCTCGTAGTCTTTCTCGCCCTGTTTTTTTTCCACGGAGCATGCGCAGATTCTCTTGACCAATTTCTCGAATGACAAAAGTGGTTTTCGGGCGGTTTATTTTTCTATCTTGGCTAAGAAAACCAACAGAACTTCTACCATTCGTCTATGACTATCTCTACTCATTAGCAAAATTCCGACTAGTTAGTGTCAGCCACCTGTTTCTCAAGGACAGAGCATAATATTTTGCTGAACATTGTAGCCCCTGGTAGATTTTCACAGTAAACTGTTTTGTTTTGATGAATACCGTAGTCCTTGGGTAAAATTTCACAGAACGGTCTGAGCAAGCAGGATTCTTAACAATATTAAAAAACACTATAAGTTGTTAAACAGTTTTCTGTAAGTAAATAAGGAAATAAATCTTAAAACAAGTAATCATTTCCCTGTATCAGTTCCCCTCCCCGGGGCGGACCGGCCGCCAGGAGCGGCATGGCGGGGGGCTGGCGTCCGCGGGCGGGTTTTGGGCCCTCCCTGGGCTGGAGCTGAGGCTTTCCCAGCCCGGGCTGCAGCCAGCGCCACACCTGGGGCACACTTCCCATCAGCTTGAAATGGCGGACAGGAATTCTCTTGCTGTTTGTGAGTCAAAAGTGGGAGCTTTGCGGGTGAGAGGGGTGGGCCGCCCGCCTCGTTTTCCTCACCTCCTGTCCCCGCCACGGCCCAGGGAAGGCACGAGTGGGCGGTGATTTGGAGGTGATACAGAGAAATAACCATTTTTCTTGCAAATTATTTACTTACAGCAACATACGATGATTTCTGAACGTTGTTTAAGAATCCTGCTTGTCCAGACTTGTTTTGTGGATTCAGTGTAGCTCACCAGATAGCTTGGGGATTGGCTCTGGTAAGAAAGTAGCAGGTAGCCCGGGGGTATGAATTCAAAGCACAGCTCGCCGATAGCAGAAGCAAAGCCCTGAATGGGCACTTAGGCAAACTTCAACTTGAACAAAAGGACTCAGAGATGGTTTCTAGAGAGGATGATCTTGCCGATTTAAGAAGGAGACGTCTGGACTCTGCTTAACAGCGCATAGGACACTGTGCAGATCGCGCTACTTCACCCCTTGAAGAATTATAATAATCACAGCTATTCCCCGAACTAATTGTAATAACCCAGCCCTTCCTGATGAATTTGTTTATTTTGGTGTAATAAATATTTAGCTACTTGCCAGAGACGGTGTGCAGACTGTGGAAAAAGCCCCTTGCAGCCCGGCCGGAATAAACATGCCTGCTTTATAACTGTCTTGAGTTGTAGACTTTGTTTCTGCACATCATAAACGTCTAAGAAGTTTTACTGGTTTTTTTTTGGAAATAAGGCTGGGAAGGTGAGGAAGAAGTGATGGGGAAGCTGGTTTAGAACATAAAATGCGTGAGTCTGATCCTGTGGCCGTGTTCTTAAGGACAAACAGCAAGGCCCACAAAGGGCTTTGTGAGCCTGAGCGGTGGGAGTGAGCCCAGGGTGCTTGGCCTCCGTTTGAGGACAGACTTTTCCTGAGGTGAGGAAAACACCCTGCCTCACAGAGCTTGTTGAACGAAACCTGTGTAAAATGTGCATGTATGGGTCAGAAGTGTTTTTGTTGAGTGAGAAAGTGGAGTCAGGGACTCCTAGCAGTAAGAAGAGATGTATTAAAACTCTGGTTAAAATCCTTAAAGAGTTAAGGGCTAGTCACAAGGTGTAAATTGTACTTTCCTCAAAAAGGAAACGTTGTTGGCTTAGAAGCCAGAGGATTTTTCATAAAAAATGCTGTTCTAAGCTACAACTGTGTTGTGTTGGGAATGAGCCAGGTAGTGTTTTCTTCTTGATAGTTACGTGTTTGGTGTTTTTCTACAAGAAACAAAAATATTCTCCTGCTTCTGCAAGTGGAGAGAGAAGCACTAGTTCAGCTCTTCAGAATACTGAAAACTTCCATGACAAACTAGTTCAAAAACATCCGTACTCAGCTATGTAAGAACATAAAAACTTTAATACGGTTGGGTGTAGATAAGGAACAGTACTGAATGGAAGAAAAATGCTTGTGACTAAGATGAGACATACACATTCATCCTGACTCTCTTTCTACTTGTTTGGGTACCATTGCAGGTTAAGTGGGCGGAATTTAGCTGCTGTTTAAATGTGAAGAGAGTTTCATACATTTATAATGAAAGCAGGGAGTGTTTGAACTATGTGATGAAGCATCATTTATAAACAGTGTATGCTTTTCCCATCAGCAGCTGTCTTCAGTGTCAAAAACATCAGCAAGACCAAACAATAACAATGGATTTAACAATGTAAAAACTGAAGGGCTCATGCAGTATTTTCATAGTGAAAGGAAGCTGAATTCAGCTCTCTATGCTCAGATATTCAGTCAGGTTTTATGTTAGGGAGGGAGGAGACTAGAAAATGTAGTTAATGCAGAGGTAAGTGCAGAGGAAAACTTGCCAATGTACAGAAACCAAGCTACAGAAACGTTTGGGAATTTTCAAAGAATGCCATAGGAAGTAGACTAAAAGTAGGCCACCCCTATAGCTATCTGTCAGGTGAAAAGATTTAGCAAGCATGAGAATTTGGGCCAGTTTGTAATATACTGCTGTAAATTGGCCTAAGATTAAGGAACTCCCTTTCTTTATATCAGCTGCAACAGTGAACCGTTGAAGTTTTGCTTAAGTGCTTAAGCTGTTTTTCCCCAAGTTTTTCTTCTTGTGCTCTGCAGCATGTATCATTACAACGTATTACAGGCTATCCTGACTTTAGAGGGAGTAAATGAAGTAGATGGTTAATTTTCAGAGATTGTAATTTTTTTTTTTTTTCTAAAACACAGCTCTTCTATGACGCCACCCCACCCAGCTCCCTCCCCTCCAAAAAGAACCCCAAATAAATGTAGTGGAGAATATAGAGCTGTATATATTTCTTATTAGTGTCCGGTGTTCAGATGTTCTGACATTATAATGCCGAACACAAAGAAACAAAATAAAATATGAATATAAACCACCATACTTAGTTTATACAAACTAGCATAGAAGTAAAATTTTCGTTTTGAACCAAAAAGCATATTGTGAAATTTGTTACAATTTTGCTTAAATAAATTTGATTGTTTTTATAAACTTGTAATTGCAGAATTCAGCTAACCAAGCAAATGATGGTGTATTTTGCTAGTGCACTTCTAAAATTATGACTGTGGTCCTGTCTTTAACATCTGCAGGTCACATTTGGAGAGGTGTTGTAGCTTCTATTCAGGGTTCCAGCTATTAGCTCTGTCACTCTCCATATAATCCCATTGGGTCTGTCCGCAAGCACCCTGCAGCATTGAAGACTAAGTTTTGCTGCTGTAAAAGAAAAAATAATATTATAAAAAAAAAATGGTGTGAATTTTTGGTGAGCTATGCAAACAACTTGGGACTTGCTTGTATTAAAATAATTGCTTTACATTTATATGGCACTTGAACCTAAATTTCCGAGTTCTGAATAATAGAGGAGAAAAAGATTTAGTGCAGTCTAACAACTGAAGAAATAACACCAATGAAGAAATCCGTTTATCAACTACTCCTACACACAATAAATAAAGGCTGTGAAAGCAAACAACTGTGTCAAGCAGTCCTAGTTGAATGGGCTACTGCCTTTCTCAAAGATATCCTACAGAGAAGGCTGCTTTTACAGCTTGCCTTAAGTAAAGCTTAATTGCCTCAGTTAGAGTCCACTCCTGTTTGAGGTGGAAAACCATTGACGTGCCTGTTCCTAGTGTAGACTGCTTATTAGCTGGATGGATGTTTGGGAAGGGAAGAAGTTTAAGGTGTTTTGTGTCTTCTGCAAAACCGGCTCACGGGTTCTGGTGCCCATTATTTGCTTCTCTAATGTACAGTATTAACAGAAAATCTGTCTATAAAGAGTGACTGCAGGCTTCTTGTGTCTTTCTCTGTACTTCAAATGAGATTTCCCCCCCCCCGCCCAGTCTCTCTAGATTTATCAGCAATACTGGGAAAGCTCCAACTAGCCAAGAGCAGGAGGTGGGGTAGAAAGAATTGCTGCTTAAGTTTTCTACAAAAGGACAGCAGAAAGTCTATTGTCGTTTTTGCCTCCCAATGGGGAAAGTAATACTTTAAACATAATTTTCTTTTGAAGTAATGGCATGAGATCGTGAGTATCTGGCGACCTAAAGCAATGTGAGGAAGGCAGGATTCAGAGGGTTACGTGGATATTTCAGTCCTCTGTGTTAGTATGGTTACTCTTCTTTAAAGAGCACAGGTAGGAGAATGTGGCAAGCATGAAACAGCCCTGGGAGTTGTTTCACCTGTTTTTAAAGGTAACTCAAGTCTGATTATGTGTCTATTAATTTAACAGTGCCCCCAAGTAGAGGATGTTGCAGGGACATAACCTAGCGGTCACAGTCAAGGCAGATCCAAAGTGAAGCTGCATCACAAAATATGTTCAGAAAGACTATCCTGGAGGCTTAAATCTAGTGCTTGTCCATAACGGTGACCTCTGAAAGCAGTTATATGTGATAATACCATGGTAGATGGCTGTAGCCATTCAGTGAAGCACTCTGCATCTATGATAGGGAACATCAAAGAGTTTCTTACAGCTTTCAAGGTCTTTGTAGAGCAGACGTGAATTTTCAGTCAGTCTGTTTAGTTTAATAATCCCAGCACATTTTTCACCTAATCATTCCTTGACTGGCTTTTAGCTCTGTTCAGCTAATTTAAACTGCTGCAGTTTAAGGGCACAGCCTTGTAGTCTCCATTAAATAAGGCGGCTGCTAGCTGAGGATCTGGAGTTAGCAGATACACTATCCTAATTAGCAAGTGAGCAAATTTATACAATCTAATCAACTCTATCTCGTCCGCTATTGCAGATGATCAACTCACTGTAAACAAACAACATTTTGGCAAATAGCTGTAGGCAGAAAAG